TGAAGATGTAAATCTTTATAAACTAAATAAATATCTAACTTTATAATTAAATAAAGGCTCAGGAATATCCCAGTCACAGCTGTTTTTTTTAGGAAATGTTCAGGCTTTGGAATACAGAATATTACCAGACTCATAGATTGTTATTAGAAACACACACTCACCATCATTTTCTTCCTCAGTCAGCTCCTCTGGACCGGCCAGCGGCAGCAGGAGGAAGGGCAGTATGTCCACGGCATCACTTAGCAACCACTCATGATGGGCTGGACAGATTGAGGAGAGGTTTGGGATCAGATGACGGGAAGTATTGTTGGACTGCAGCTCAGTGAGGACATACCTGGTGCAGCATTCGTTCCATTACAACAAAAAGGTCAGAGTCTGATTTTAGAGTCCCTTCAGCTGGAGTCGTTACAGGGGACGGACCCTGTAGAGCAGGGACCTCAAACTGCCGACCCGAGGGCCATTTATAGCCCGTCATCAGTCATCCCTCTGGCCCACAACATGATGTCAAAAATATAATATAAACAAGTCCAAAAGATTTAAATGTTTTATTTTTTTCTAGTTGTTTCATATCAATTTAAATTACTACAACTTTGCCATTTCTCTGTTTGGTGCAGGGTTATGACAAAGGTCAACAAAGCCTGCAAATGATTAGAAGACAGCAAGTTTTGAGCTACAAACAAGTATAGAAAAGGCTGTTTTTGGGGGTTATTATGATGTTATAAATATGTTCAGAATATTTAGCTTTCTTGTAGTACTTGGACGATTATGTGGACCTCCTGTGAGATGCCAGTCTGAGTTTGAGAGCCCTGCTGTAGAGCCGGCTCGCTGACACAGCTGGGAACAGTAGAGTAAAGACTACGTACATAGATGCATTTGCTGTCCGTCTGTAAAGATTTTTGGATGCTTTTACACTGTTTTGGTATCAGATCTGAGAACCACGAGGTGACAGTGTTAATGAGGTCTCTGTGTCTCTCACCGTGGTTAAAGCTACAGTTGCGCAGGGTGCCTATGACTCCACCCCTCCTCACAGTAGATGCCTGGTACTGAGTGAAGGGCAGCAACCTCTGGATTACACACCTGCAACACACACACACACACACACACGATTATCACAAGCTGCAGCAGCTGCACAGACAGAAGAACTCAATGTCCAGATTTCAATTGATTTTACTATCAGTATCACAGGTGCTATCTGTCCTAAAGCTACTTTCTTTGGTTCAGTATGTCCTATGAACCACAATGTCCAAACATTCTGTGTCTGTGCATTACACCTGTAAAATAGAAGGAAACAGAGTCAGAAAATAAGCTCTGGGAATCTTTGGTATTTGTTGGTAAAGAATGGTTCACATTGGGAAATCAGAGATCATATTAGCTCATATTTGTCCTAGCTTCAGATTGTGATACTGTGTCTCTTCCCTAAATTCTCACTGGTCCTGTAGGATAATGAAGGAAATGTGAAAAAGGGACTTTGTGGAGTGTCTTCCCAGTTCTACACTGATATCAGTTCTGAAAAATAAAAATAAAAAACTGGCTTGTGTGACCATGAATTCTGGTCCTGCAGCGTAATAATCAGTCACCTGTCTTTGTCCACCATGTAGTTTCTGGCCTCAGGCAGCTGCGTCAGATTGGACAGCAGAGGACCCAGGTAGTGGAGCTTAGCCTTCTTGTTGTAACCTTCAGTACAGAAGATCTCCACCAGCTGAGCCAGACTGACCCCCTCCTGGACAACCTGAAATAGCAAAGAAAACACTTCATATGTCATTATCAGGACGTTTGAGCAGGTTTCAACCAGGAGTGCTTGTTCTGTTGACCTGAGAGGGTTTGTGGACCTGGATGGGATTTGGCAGCTCACATATGGTGGAGTGAAGCTAGGACTGTCGCAATAACTACAACAATGAACCACAACTGCACTAGACGTCACGTCATGTTAAGACTTTGTTTTTTAAGTCAAGAAAGCGTCCCAGAGCGGATACACTGAGGAGAGTGGACACAGCAGAAGTGAAGTGCTACTAAATATCCTTCAGTTCACAGCCCAGAATCACAATATCACACAGGAGGAAGTCACGCAGCCTCACACACTCTGGAAAAACCGCTGACTGGAAACACTAGCAGTGTTTCAGAAAACACAGACTGGTCTGCTGATTATCCCAATTCTCCAACAGCTGTAGCGTTTGTGTCCCGCCAGTGTTTGTGATCTTCAGCTGAATAAAGTCGCTAGTTAGTAAACATATTGGGCTAAAAGTTGCCAGTTAACAGGGTTCACAGACCCAGATGGAGGGAGGGAGATACAGGTGATTGGTACAGACAGGTAACTTATCCTGCTGTACTCCTTACAAAGTCATTTGGAAGAACAACAAAAATGGCAGTTATACTGCGCTGCTGTGCCACCATAAAAGAGCCAAAACCTCTTCCCATCCCTTGCAGACTTTGTAGATCAATCACCTTCAACACAGTCTTGCAGGTCTTCTCATGGCGGGTCAGGTTGGACAGGATGGTGCAGATCTGATCTGAGAACAGGTACTCTGGATCCAGAAGGTTCTTTATCAACACTGGAAGAACTTTGACATCTGCCACCAGGACCTGAGTGAGACAAAACCAAGAACAGACAGTAAATCTGAAACATCTCTAAGGGTCTGTAAAAGCTGTTTTATTTGTTAAATGTCTGTTATCACAACAGCGTCTTCCTCTGGGACAGTTTAGTAGTTACTTATTAATAACTCATCAATAAGAGTTCACTTAGAGCGGACTCTGCCGATCGATCAAAGACTGATCACCTGGTGCAGAGTCTCGTCAGCTGACAGGTTGATGAGGATGTGGTAACAGTCCTTCACGATAGCAACAGAGTGGTCGGATGTCAGAGCAAACAGGGCAGCGAGTAATTCAGGTTTAGAGCGGAGGAAGCGGCAGCCATCCCTGAAAACAAACACAAATAAAAAAACAAAGGCGGCTTTAAGTTAGAAAACTATCAGCTGAGAGACGAAGCTCAAGGATGTAAATCCATCCAAATAAATCCTGAGTTTCCCCTCAACAGCACGGACATTAATGGGTCTGAAACATAAAACAGCTTCTTTATTACATTTAGTCTGGGTGTTCCTCCTTTTATTGGTATCTTACTTACACAATATTCACATTATTAGTGGTGCATTTTCATTAATTCACTACCAGTAGTTAGAAGATATTATAGGTTATTCATAGCTACTCTCCTATTACACTACAGTTCAGCTTAAAGGATCCTACAGGTCAATTCTCACATTTTACCTGTCTAAATGTTACATGTAAGTGCCTCTGATCATCATCTGTGATATGAAAACATCTGTATCTGTGTACACACTGTGGAGAAACTCTCAAGTGTTTAACACATTGGAGGTCAGTGGACGAGACGGGATCAGAGTCTGGTCGGGTTCAGGGCTGGTCTAATGTTTGTATCGGAGCAGAGAGAAGAAACAAGCGTCTCAGGTTGCCACATTAAAACAAAAAGCTACATTATTAATGGCATCCTCCTCCTCCTCCTCCTCCTCCTCCTTCTCCTCCTCCTCCTACCTGTGTCCAGACAGTCCCAGGATGTACTCTATGGCCTGGTTTTTGACATCAGGACGTGTAGTGGGGGTCAGGAAAGAGAGCAGCTCTGCAGCCTCAGAATCACTCAACATCTTCTAACAGAGTCTGATAAACAGAAATAAATCCACAACCAACCATCAGCAGAGACAACAACACAGAATAATACTGACATACTTCCTACAAGCCTCAGTGACTCAACAGATCAATAATAAAATAGATTCTTATTTACTGTATGGTTTTGATTTAATACCATATTTTAACATTCATGTTAAGAGTGTGATAAGAAACTAAAATTCAGATTTAGGCTGGTTTTTATAGGCTGTTACATAATAATTAAGTAAAACAAATAAAAAACAACACAACAATGTAGAAATACTTCATTATAAGTTAAAGTCCTGCATTTAAATTCTTACTTTAGAAAAAGCACAGCAGCATTAACTATTTCTGGCACAGAGAGAATAAACTCTGACAACCTCTTAAGTCTGACTATTTCTTAAGTTAAATGATACGTTTATGTATTTAAACATCATTTAAAGTGGATGGTAAATGAAGAATGTCACTGTACAGGTAAACTGTTTAGGGCTGCACAATATGGTAAAACATCATATTGAGATTATTTTGACAGATATGATTCACAGTTAATGTGGGAATTATCAATTTTAAATCAAAATTTAATTTTTCACTGAAGAAAAACTATTAAAATCATGTTGATGTGATATTTATTAAAGCCTGTAGCAAACAATCATCTTTATTTAGGTTTATTACACATGGCTATATTGTGATTTCTTTAATATGGAGATTAATTATTCAGCCTTATTAATAGTTTATAACTGTGTAAATGACAATAAACACATTTCTAACATGTTCAGACTGTAATCAGCTTCATTTAACACATTATAATTACATTAAAGAGCTAACTGTGTCATAAAACTGCTGTTATCTGCACATTATGTGTTGTTTATGTGTATCAAGGCTACATCCAGGTTGTTGTTTACATTTAGAATAAAAGCACATTTATAAAAGCTGCTTGTTTCCATGTTGGACTCAATACACAATATCAGCATCAGCAGCTAAACTAATCTAAGTATTATAAACATCCTCCAACTTATTTCCACATGAGGTCAAACTTACCTTGAACGACCTACAGGAGATCTCCAGGTTTCATTCCTTCCACCTTTTAATATATTAAAGTACTAATATTAAACAGCCTGTGTAACGTGGGCACATGTCCCCCTCTCTTCCGGGTTATCTTCATCTTCTTCCCCCTCATTTCCAGCAGTTTAAACGGAGCTGAGTGGATGATACCGCCCCCTACTGTCCGCTACGTGCAGTGGTTTCTGGTTGGAAACAGCTGGATCTGATTGCAGCTGGATAAAGTCCCAAACTTCACTTTAAGGACATTCTGTACCATCTGAGAGAGAAAGAAACAAACACAACAAACACTCTGTTCATCTTATTTTACATCTGAATGAATGAACTCCACATTAATACGAGTCCCTCAATCTCTTTCTTTCTTTCTTTCTACATGCATATGTTTCTTTTTTGTTTGATATTTATCATCATTTAAATTTATATGGGATCATCAGACATAAAGGTCAAATGCTTCGACTTGTGTCAGATCAGAGACTTTAAAGACATTTAATTGGGACGTTTCACATTGTCATCTCCGGGCAAATGAGTTAAAATCCTTATTTTACTTGAACAATTTATCATTAATTTTCCAGAACAGGTAACTTTGTGATGTTCAGCAGATTAGGAGTCAAATGTTTCTCAAAAACAGGCTGTCGATAAATGTGATAAACCTTTTAAAATAACAGACTTATAAAGAATAGTCACAGTGTTTAAACCTTATGTGAAGTACAACTTTAACAAAGATCCCTTTGTTCACAGTTGCGTTCAGGAACTGTTCGCCCGGTAGGTTTAATGCCACTCCAGAGGAGGACAGACTGAGCTTGTCGTGTGATGGAAAATGAGAATTGAGGTTCGCTTTCTGTCTTCCTGTCCTGACTACGAGGATATAAATGTATAATGTATAATAACCTATAATCTATGACTTTGTAATGGAATTAAATGTTTGACTCACTGTGTTGTTTTTGTTGTCTTGTATGACGGTTGGGCAATCAATCAAGCAATATAGGGCCTTGTCAGTTACATTTCTGCCTCCATGTTTGTTTTTTATTAGTACTTTGGTATTTTATGTTAGCAGCTCTCTCCATTGTACTGTTTGAAACCTGAAATAATAATAATAATAATAAAGTTGTGGATTTTCTTCAGCCCACAGAGGCAGCCTCAGTATCAACAACTGTTCTCTGGTCAGTTGTTTACTGAAGATGTTGACCTGAAAATTGTTGCATCATACACAAGAAACATAAAAACAGGCTTATACTTTATTTTACTGTATATAGTGTTTATATTTTATTATATTTTGTTGTATTTTATTATATTGTCTTTATGACAGTTTAAAAATCTTATCTTTTCTTAAATTATCTGATCCAGTAATTATCAGGTTGTTGGTATTTCTTTCACTTCTTTAAAGACTGAATACCATTAAAAACATCTCTACAGAAACACTTTAGACTGAAGTGTGACTTGAAATTGTACAAAAATATGCAGCATCTAAATATTGTCAGTCTGTTTTAAAGACGTTAAAAGCGACAACCACTAATATAAAGTAACAATGATGCAATAGCGCCCCCTATGGTCCATTAACCAGCTGCAGCTTTGTGTTTACGAAGACGCACGATTCCCAAAATGTTCAATTATTCAACTAAATTAAGGTGATAATACTTATTTTAGTGAAAATCAGTAAGAAGTAAAAACAATTGAGTATCACTGGTTATTAAAGATACCCTGAGAAGGTTTTTTTTCTTGCTGTGGAATAAAGTTTTCATAGGTGCACAAGCACACAGGCGACACAGTATCCTGGAAATAAACACATTTAACACATTTTTGGTGAGAAAAACTAAATTTAAATTTAAAATTTTGTTTACAATAAAAATCCACAGGGAACTTTTAACTTGAAATTTGCAACAAGAGTTTCTCTTTATATACAGCAGGACGGATTCCAGTCAGCGTCTTAGATATACTTAAATATTCCCTGAGAGGTTTTTAACCTCTAGTTTCCCTGTGTAGCCTGTTGTGTTTTTCGATGAGTAGGTCAGTTTTTTTCGGTTACGAGAGCCAACAGGTGGCGAGAATGTGCCAAAATATGCTGCAATGTGCTAATAAATGGAGGAATATGACAGAAAGCCAATTAAAGATGCATCTAAACGTAGGATTTAAAATACTTAAAAACTCGCCTTTTCAAATACTTTTATTTAATTACAAAAAAAAAGTCCACAGGTCTCCTTTTAACCTTCCAAACTACTTTATTGATATATCCAAACAACACATATAAGACATTCACATACTTTAATTCCCATCAGCCGCAGCTCCCACTCACTCCAAATGTTGCATTGAAATGCTGATATTGCATATAAACGTTCTCGATTGTTGCCTGCGTTACAGTGCAGCGTTTGCCTTCTGGTTAAAACAAGCTACAGTTCGACCTCCACTGACTGAACAGTTGGGACAACAATCGGACACTTTTTCCTCTCAAACAACCAACAAAGAATCAAACGAAACGCTGGTGAATGTTTTTAAATCTTTTAACTCGTGAAGATCCAGCGCAGCACGTACTGAAAGCAAAACATCTCAACAATAATGTAGCTGTGGAGAAAAGGCCTGAGCCTGGAGTTGTTGTGATTGTGTCTACAGACAGGGAAGTGTTCCTACATGCAGATCCAAGGCTGGTGGGTGAAAACACCACCCTGGGATCCAAAGGATTTAAAAAAAAAAAAAAGGTCAGACACAGGGAAGTCTGTAGACTGAAGAATGACGCTGATTCCTGCGCTTCCAACGCTGAAACATTGGATTTTTTCCTCAACAAACAAACACACACACACACACACACACACAATGTTCTTGTCACACAGATTTCAATAGTACTTCAATACCTTTTTAAAACTCAGCATTTTTAATTCAAAAACATATCTCACCAAATATGTGTAGTTTGGAAAGAGAGAAGAGGAGAAAGAGGAATGGAACAGCATCAGTCTGGATTGTAAACAGATAATAAAACATATTTCATGAAGTCGTCCACAACGTGCCGAAGTGGATCCAAGTCCGTGTAATCTGCCTGGAGCCGGATATTCACTCCCCGACATCCCGCTCCGTACAGAGCGTTTCAGCGACTCAGAGTATCTTGTGATTCTGGGTTGTCGTGGTATCGTAGCACTACTGAATTTATTTCGGCACTGACTGTATCAAAGTCTAGATCTCCGCATGGCGACTCCCACGTTCAGGACTGAGAAAAAGGCATCAGAAGGCACTGTGGAGTTTATGTTGGCAGACAGAGATCAGCTGGCAGCCTCTCTGTTGGCTCAGGGTGGGGAAAGTCCATCATCATCATCATCATCATCAATCAACATCTTCACCCTCCTCCTCCTCTTCACTCGGCCTTGTCTTTCCTCTTGGCCGTGAACGGGACTTTGCTGGCTACCGTGGAGCCCACTGAGGAGACGCCACCGGCCACGGCAGACACCCCGCCCTTCACCAGCCCCACCCCCATCGAGGGAACGGTGGTCACGGCCGACTTGGTGATCTCCAGGCTCTTGCCGCCCACCCAGGCCACCCCGCCCACCGCGGCGCCCACGACTCCCTTGGTGACGTTGAAGAGGCCTCCGGTCACCCGCCACATCATGCCGGGGGCCGGCACCACGTGGTCCTTTCCAGAATCTGGAAACATAATCAGACATACGTGAAGCTTTATAATATTCAGAACACGAAGGTTCGTTCACACTGAAAGCCTCAATGATCAAATCACATCTATTACTCAGATCTTTTGTTTGGTCGTTCACGGTGTTTCTTCATTGTGGCTCATATCAGATTTCAGTGTGAAGTTATGAAGTGATGAAGTGACATAATGAATGTTGATCTAGAGCTGTGGTTTGCAACCTTTCTCCTCAAGGGACCCCATTTAGTAAACAGACGACTCCCTATAGTGACATATTTTTAAACTATACCCATTAACCCAAAAGGAGAATTCAGTCACTACAAGAAGTTTGTGTAAAACAAGTGATTTCTATGCATTTTGAGCAGATTATTTCCTGTTTATGGAACTTTTTATACAATCTTCTGTCTTTATTGTGTATTTTTTACATTATATTATCATTTTTAACAATCATACAGATTTAATAGACTTCTTTTTTGAGAAATTTAGTGTTTTCTTTTCCCTGACACTTGGACATTTTTCTATTAGACAATTGACTTTACATATACAAGTCAGAATTGAAAAGATCAGATCACTGTCACATAGGAGCAAACATTTCTTATCTCAATAAATCCCATTAAAAGCCCCAGTTTGTTAGTCTGCCTCTCCATACTGTCTGACTTCTGTACCCCGACTGTGGCTCTAAGTCCAGAGTCCACTCTTTCCTACTGAAGTCCTGGTCCAGTGTACAGTGTGATATAGAAACCTGAAGCCACCAGTGCACAAACACTGAGAACGGACTTTACAGTGAAGGAGGAGACATCTTGTGTCCGTCAGAACAACTATGCACTATTCATAGATTCTGTAAGTTTTAATGAGGTAGAAGGAGAAGATGCCTTTCTAAGGACTTTAATGTAGAAATTATTATTTTCTACACGTATAATAAAAGTCTGGAGGGGATATTTAAGTGTTAAATTATTACATTATCTGGGCACCATAAATATCTGTACTTCTGTCTATCCAGTAGATGTTGAAATATTTTACTAGATTAGTGAAAACTCTGACTTGCAGCAGATGGCACTAGAGCATGAGTGTCTGGACCAAATGTTGTCTAATATTTGAGACATTTCAGTCTGAAACGTTGATATTTGTGGTGTAAATTATCCAGGAGTGTCTCTTTAAATTGAGTCTGATCTCTACAGTTTCAACCTGGTGAGTAAACGCTCATCAGGACTGATTCGTATGTTGAACCACAGAATTACTCTTCATCCTATAACAACAGGGCTGTTTACTAAGAGCAGCAGTAAACTGGTGCAAAATGCCTCATCGTTTAGGACACAAATAGCAGGTTGGAGCTGCAGCCGCTGTTACACAAACACACACACACAACTCCCCTGACAAACCAACTGGTTTCTGAAATAGCAGTAGGGCAACATGTGAGCACCGATTGCACCATATTCCCTGCTGATGTCTCGGGTGTTTAGCCACAGCCTGGGGAGCTCTCTGCTTACCCTCTGTAGGTTGAATGCTGGCGGGT